AACTGGCGCTGAGGTGCTTCTATAGCTATTTGATTAAAGCTATGTGAACTGGCGCTGAGGTGCTCATTCTATTTGATTAAAGCTATCTGAACTGGCGCTGAGGTGCTCATTGATATATATGGTTATTTCATTAAAGCTATCTGAACTGGCGCTGAGGTGCTCATTGATATGCATACTTCTAACGTTTGGCACGTAAACGACATTACCTCATATTCGCTCTAATACTTGATCTCTTAGAAACTTCTCTTTCCAAATTCATTTTCTAACTTGTTATGCTCTTTCATAGATTCTCTTTATCGGACATCTAACTTTAGTTACATATTTCATTTCATACGGGGTTATACGTATCATTCTGACGATGGCCCGCGTATAACCGGGAAGTACATGTCAACGATTCAGGGCCGAAACATATACTCCCAATCTTATCAGCTTTCTACTTTTCGTCACCCTTTCTGCTCCTTCATTATTCTGTTAATTTCACAAAATCTATCTTTAAGCCTCGGTCCTCTTCCTGTTTCATTTCATCTATTTCTTTGCTTTATGCTTCCTATACTCTTACATCTCGAATAGTAATATAAGTAATTTGCATATTCATGGAATTTGAAATATAATTTGCATATTCATAGAATTGGGAATTTAATTTGCATTTTGCGAAGCTACATTTTGGAATATAATTTGCAAATATAGAAATTTGGAAGTTGCAATATAATTTGCATATTACCTGGACTGGCCAGGTTATCAATTTGTAAATTGTAAATATTTTGCGGTATGCAATATAAGTTGCATTTTACGAAGATGCGTTTTGGAATATAATTTGCAAACATGGAAACCTGGCATTTGCAATATAATTTTACGCATTGTATGGATTACCGGGGTTGGCCAGGCTATCAATTCGTATATTGTAAATAATTTGTAATGCGGAATATAATTTGCATCTTATGAATCTATATTAATGGCATCTATTAATTGCCGTGTGAATGAACTGCGTTGCAGGTGTTCTGCGATGGTCACGGAGAGCTGCCCCCAGTAAGTACTTTTTTTCGTTGATCTTCTTGTTCAGTTTTGCTATCATCATAATTGCCATCATTATTTTTATCGTGACCATTATCGTCACGATAATCTTTTTGATTAGATGAAAGACACTTTTGAAAGTTCAAGAAGTACATCAGATTCTTCATTATGGAGTTCATCAATGAATTTTTAGCGATAATGCCGAAGATGCTGAAGAAAGCAAAAGGAAATCGGGTATGTTGGTACATTTGAAACGTCTAGTTGCCTCACTGAACAGTGCAGTTCATTTTGAAACAATGAAAGGAAAGGAACTGAGACAGTGAATCAGTTCGTCGATGAATCAGCAAATGAGCAGTTTTAATGAAAAAATTGTTAATAATAGTGATCACAAGTAGATAAAATAGCAATGAATTGTTAATAAATCAACNTCGGGTATGTTGGTACATTTGAAACGTCTAGTTGCCTCACTGAACAGCGCAATTCATTTTGAAACAATGAACGAAAAGGAACTGAGACAATGAATCAGTTCGTCGATGAATCAGCAATTGAGCAGTTTTAACGAAAAAATTGTTAATAATAGTGATCACAAGTAGATAAAATAGCAATGAATTGTTAATAAATCAACCTTCATTAAAAGTGTTTTCAGGGCAGCCCGGTGAAGACGACACCGTGGTATAGAAGAGAATTCTCGCCCTGATAATCTTCACCGACGTGTCTTGGGGAGCACACCTACTACGTGAAACGACTAATGAGAACCGCAAAGACGAAGTGATATGATGCAGGTTTTTCGTTGCTGTTCTTGTTACTTTTGCTATTATTATTGATATCGTCCTTCCGATTGTAACGATTATCGTTACGTTAATCTTTTTGATCAGATGCAAACGAATTTCGTTTTGGGTTACAATCTTCTGAATATAATTCAATTAACGATAATGAACTTATTTTCAATATATCAGGTTCGAGTTGAGCAATAGGTTATGAGATCGGACTCAAAGCTGACGCTGCAAATTTAAATTTATGCTTGAATTGATCACTTAATTGACCATCACCATCGATTAATCACTTAATTGACCATGGCCATGTTTTTGATCTGATGCAAAACAATTTAAAAAGTACAAGAAGTATCAGGTTCTTCATCCAGCACATCAAGTACTTCGACAATTCAGTTTGTGAAAGCAGTGACGAATCAAGCTGACCCGTTTCATTGCACTGCACTGATTCTTATTAAACGCCAACCGCTCGAATTACATTTTCTAAAAATTTTACGATTTTCTCGTTTTCGTGCATTCACTTTATTAGAAATCAATTGAAATTGAATGAAAGTGTATCGTATAAATCATTGTGTACGTAACAGAATGAATTATGCATACGTATGATGGCTCTGAACGGAATAAAATAATTGAATTTCTGAGATATTTACATATCAAGCTTGATTGATATTCTTATGAAGAAATGGTAATCAAGTTTTCAATAAAATGATGCAATTCTCAATAAAATGATGTTAGCAATAATGCTAGAGCGGCCATCGCTATGAATGATTAATTTTAATTCTGTTCATTGATGAAAACGAAATAAAATTATGGCTTTTGATGCAACCAGATGACGCATCATTCCTTTCGTTTGGTATTTTTGCCACAATAATCTTCATGCTGATCGTGAATCACCGCTAAAGAGACCAGAAATCTTCTTTGGTTTACGTCAAACCACTATAGCGTTTTGGAATTTTGGTTGTTGATGAGGATTGTTTAGTGCAGCGTTTTCCATAGGGTGGTGAACCAACCTCCGCATGATCTGCTGTCGATAACTTCTGCGTCAGTTAAAATTTCAGGCGGCCCAATATCAGTTCAGCTCCATCAAAGGGAGGTCTTCTTTATTGTCAAGTAATTTACACCTTCAATTCTCGATACTTCACTGTTTAATTCCACTCGACGAACTCCGCCAGATTGCGATTATTTTGGTTCAGGACAATGTTTTTCAACCTTACTCAGTCGTCAACTTATTGCCCGTCTTACATTTGTTTTCAAATTTCAGCGGATCAGCGATCGCGATGCTGTCGCTTTTTTATCACGTGCCCATGTCTGGTTATAATTATCACCACTGTCATCCGTATCATTCTTAATGCTCATCAACAGAATGAATCTATTAAATTTGATACAGCAATTTATTGAATTATTAATTATTGGAATGCCGCTGTCTTCCAAGCGTCTGATCTCATCACCTGGCTAAAAAACGTAAAATTATTAGCAGCAATCTTAAAGCCGAACGAAAACGATCCATCATTAAGGAGGATCGATAAGTTTTAAATAATCGAAAGTGACGACAAAAGTTATGACCCAGGCAGGGGTCGAACCTGCAATCTTCTGATTAGAAGTCAGACGCCTTATCCATTAGGCCACAGGGCCGTGCTAATGCGTGTATTATGTATTAATATGAAGCTTGATCGTTATTTTTGCTTTTGAAAGTAAAATTCAGGGTGTCCAACTCAAGCTCTTAATTTTTTGTCCACCATAAAATACCTGAATTGCTCTCTTTACAATATATTGCCGCAATGAAGCTAACACGAGGAAGCACCCTATCAAAAGCGATAAACATTTTGGTGTTTGTCTTTTGAGTCATCCACTTTGAGTCATCCACTGATTCATGATCTCAACAATTCCTTGCTCACAATCACACATTATCTCGAACTTTAACTGGATGTACCACAAATATTTGAAAATTTCGGTTCATTTAGTGAAAAATCGCATTCTCCTCTTTTACGGATTTCAAAATGTCGTCCCATCGTGATCAATATGTACGGTGAGTCCTGGCTGGAGTCGGCTTTTCTGTTGATTTGAGTGATATGCATGTCTAAACGCATTCGAATGAGACAAGAA